GGGAGAAGCACTCAGTACAGAGGCTTTTCCCCATTGAGAATCTGCTTGATAGTAAATATCTTACTATCAGCAGTTTGTGAATGAATGGGAAGCCTCTGTACTGAGTGCTTCCCATTCAGTGAGTGCAGAGGCTGCAGAAAAAGACATTGAGGACTCTGTATCCTCAATGTCTTTTTCTATTTCAAAAGTTGAATGTCAGGGGTCCCCTAATTAGACCCCAAATATTTCCCCGAAGCCCCCCCCAACAGTAAAATAATAAATAATAATTAAAAAATAAATGAATGTGTAAAAAAAAAAAAAAAAAGCACAACCCCCTCTCCCCCACACACACATAACATACACGTGCACCATATTGTGGTGGACACCAGGCACAGGAGCTGCAGTGCGTTGTTAGAACGCATCACAGTGCATGTTTTTTTTGTTTTTTTTTTCCATGGTTTCCATCAGATTTTTTAAGGAGCATTTTTGGCTGTTTTTAGTCGCGTTTCAGCGCTGAAACGCAATTAAAAACCCTCAAAAACATGCTGATCAGCGTATTTCTATTAAAATGGGGGCGGAGGGGTTTCGTTGTGGGGGGCCTTAAAATTTTTTGCTATGGGGCCCTGGGATTTCTAGTTAGCTGGTGGTATATCTGGATTTTGCCAAAACTTTTGACACGGTACCACATAAACACTTAGTACACAAGCTGAGGTCTTTGGGCATAGATGAAATGGTGTGTACATGGATAGAGAACTGGCTACAGGACCAAGTCCAGAGAGTAATGATAAATAGCACTTTTTGAGATTGGTCCATGGTTGAGAGTGGCATGCCTCAGGTTTCTGTGCTAGGCCCAATACTGTTTAACCTGTTTATTAACGATATCGGGGAGGGTGTTAATAGCCATGTTTACGTGTTTGCAGATTATACTAAAATTGGGAGGGTCATAGACACGGACGTAGACACTATAACATTACAGAGGGACCTGGATAAAATAGGGGAGTGGGCAACTACACGGCATATGGGATTTAATGTTGGAAAATGTAAAGTAATGCATTTTGGGGTTGAAAACAGGCAAGAGAAATACTTACTAATGGGCACTCCTCTAGGGAAGTCAGATATGGAAAAAGATCTGGGAGTCATAGTGGACCACAGATTGAACAATAGCTTGCAATGCCAGGCTTCGGCAAACAAAGCAAGCAGAATACTGTTTTGTATTAAAAGGGGAATGTACTGTAGAGACAAGGCAAAAATTTTGCCACTTTATAGATCACTGGGTCGGCCTCATCTGGAGTATGTGGTTTAGTTTTGGTCACCAGTCCACAGAAAAGATGTCTTTGAGCCGGAGAAAGTCCAGAGAAGGGCAACTAAACTAATTAAGGGTATGGAGGACCTAAGCTATGAGACATGGCTACTAAATGTAAACTTGTTCACGCTGGAAGTGAGGAGATTAAGAGGGGACATGATTTTGATGTACAAAATGTTTAGTGGTAATGGCAACATCTGCAATAAACTTTTTACTGTAAACTCCGTAACAAGGACTAGAGGCCACCACCTAAAACTGGTGGAGAAAAGATTTAACCACAAGGGGCGTAGGGGCTTTTTTTCAGTTAGAGCGGTTAAAATCTGCAACTCGCTCCCACAAGCAGTGGCATCAGCAAAGAATATTGAATCAATCAAAAAAGCATTTAGATGCCTTCCTCAGAGACCACAACATACAGGGGTACAGGTACACTTAAAAACTAGACCACACAGAGATCCATATACACACACACAAATGCACAATCACATACAGACACACAAAGGTTGAGCTTGATGGACCAGTGCAGTGGCGTAACAATCGCCATAGCGACCCAGGCGGCCGCTATGGGGCCCGGGCACAGGGAGGCCCGGCGAGGGCATCCCTCTGATGCCGTGTGGGCCGCCTGGGTCGCTATGACATGTAAGAGTGCTGGCTGTCACTGACACAGCTCAGCAGCGGCTGTGAAGATCACTGACAACCTGTCAGTGATGTGTGCTGCGGCCGCGGCGCGTTTCCCCTCACAGACGCTGCGAAGCTGTGTCAGTGACAGCCAGCAGCTGCGGCAGAAGAGGCCGGCGTTCGCAGTGAAAGAGGAGGCGGGGCCCACCTAAGAGCAACCCCGCCTCCTCTTACATCACTGGCCAGCGACCTAAGAGCAGGCGGGACCCGTCAATAGAAGAGGAGGTGGGGGCCTGGCGACCACGGAGGCGGACAGCGCTGATAGGTAAGAAGTGTGCAGCTCATCTGAGACCCTGCAGAGCTCACTATGGTGGGCTCGGCAGGATCACTCTCAGGTGGGCTGTTTGGTATATCTGGGCTCTGCAAGTGGCATAACTAGCAATCACGGGGCTCCATACAAAATTTTGCTATGGGGCCCTGTGATTTCTAGTTACGCCCCTGGACCAATGTCTTTATTCAACCTCAAATACTATGTAACTATGTAACTAAAAATTAGTTGTGGACGAAATGAATGGAAACTAAAAAAACGTTTTAATTCGTTTCATGAAACAAAACAAATGTTTATGCTATCTCGGATTTGGCCACGGGCACGTTCTGCACATGCCTTTATCCTGGAGGCAAGGCGCGTGATCTCACATGACGCTATGCATGCGCGACGTCGGGTGACATCACGCGTCTGTTGGGGGAGGCACAATTTTCTGTTCTTGCCTCGGGCACAAAAGGAGCTAGCTGCGGCTCTGCAATGAGGATGCCGCTTTCTACCAGCTCTCAATGGGTGCTTATGTCAGCTCACATTCAGGGACTATCTCTAAAGGAAGGAAGGTTTTCATATCTTCCTGCATGACTATTACATGCCTTGCTAAAGTCCTTGCTAGTGCTTGCTACATTTTATCTGGATCATCAGACTTTTTGGAGGCTTTATCTGACTGGTCTTTTGTGAGTGCATTTCTTATCTTTAATATTTGAGCCCAGTATGTCTTAAATGCTCAAGTGCACCTGTTTTTTCTCTTGATGTTCTAGTTAATATTTCCGCTTCCTGTTTTGGAGCTGCAAGACTCTTAAACCCTATTATTGCACTGATGGATGTAATTTAGTCAAGAGTTTTTTGTCTTAAAATGAGCCTGTAAAATATGAATAAATTCTATGAAATGTGGGCAGTATAGTGTTACCATCTTGTCTTCAGTTGTATTGTAATGTCTTCCTTATATTGTAAAGCGCTGCACAAACTGTTGGTGCTATATAAATCCAGTATTATAATAATAATCATAATAGCCTATATTTCTAAGGTATACTGGGATGAAGTGGATGCCACTGAGTATTCATATCAGAAGAAAACATTCCAGCAGAAGAGAGAATACTTCCAAAAGATGGGTAAGTAACAGACAACCTATAAAGTTGTAGGATTGTGAAATTTTTTTTAGGAATTTCCAAATAACATTTTTTATTACAGAGGCTCAAAATATCCGAGTGAAATCGCTGAAGCCTCCTTCTAAAATTCTGCTACCAGCTCCTGCAGCAGAACCAGAGAGTGATAGCGACGAAGAACCTCCAGAGCCACCAGAACCAGAGCCACAGCCAGGTTAGTCACCATTCAGAAAAATACACAGTAGGGAATTTATCAGAACTGGTGCAGTTACCTATAGTAACCAATCAGCTTTTATCATTGGTTTGTTCAGTAAATATTAGAAAATGAAAGATAGAAGCTGATTGGTTGTCATGGGCAACTGCTCCAGATTTTGTCTGCTTCAGTTCTGATTAATTCCCCTCACAGTATTTATTTAATGTAGTACTGTGGGTAAAAAATGACATACCGTATATGCAATAGACCAGTGATGGGTTACGTTGTTGAGCCCGAGTGCCCAAACTGCAACGTAGAATCAATTTATTTATCTCAAAGTGCCAACACTGAAGATAAGTTTGGTATTGTGTTTTAGTTTGGGCACTGGGGTTTCAAAAATGTTCAGCATCACTGCCTGAGGCAAAATAAGGAAACGCACATATTCAAACATTTAAACACTTTTTTTCTTTATTATTTTTTACTTTTTTTTAATCACTTTTATTTATTGTTTGCATTTTTATTTATCCTATTTAA